GGCTATGATAGTAAAATCATGAAAGGTAAGTGACAGCTTAAAAATTAGACAAATACAGAAATGAGAAGACACAGGAAAAATTAATCGTTACAATATTTGAATGCAAGCACGACCATTACAACATTCATTGCCACATTTTTATTTTGCAAACAATTACTAAATATTGAAAATATCCATTTAAAAATTTTATCTTTAAAATTTCATGAACCCTTGGCAATTAATGATACTGAGTAACTCATGTATTTCGCTCGTGAGATAAATCTGAAAAACTTGGTTAAAAACTTAAAAAGTGGAATTTTAGATGATGAGGAGCTTGGATAGATATAATGCAAATAAAGTATTTATTAATACACTAAATTAAAGCATAGTCCCTAATATTATATCCATGCCCAGATACATCCGTATAGAGTTTTTTAACATTTCAACAAGCAAATAATTCACATGATCATTAGAATTTAATAGCACATAATGAATGATGTTTATTTTTACACCGAAAAAACTCATAAAAATATCGTTATATATTTAGAACAAAATGAAGACAATGAAAAAAATAGGTGTTTATAAACGTCATCTAGCAATATAACTAGGGATGGTAAAAAAACGTTTTAAAACGTTTTTTATATGTTTTTAATTGTTTTAAAAAAAGTTTTAAAACATCGAAGCTGATATTAAAATTTAAAGTGACACTTAGTCGGAGTTTAAAACTCCGATCAAGCCCCGAAAATTTGAGGTAACACAAATTCTAAAGTCAAATTTTCGCGACACTTGGTCGGAGTTTAAAATAAATTATTGCGATTAAAAAACATTTTAAAACATTTTTAAACAATTAAAACCAAAACAATCATTTGTTCTAAAATAATGTTTTAAAACATTTGCCATCCCTAAATATAACCCTATTCTAAATTAATAACATATTATCGTGGTTTGCAAATTTATGCACCTTTTTATCAAATTTGTAGGTCACTTTACACTCATACAATCACCTGATTGTTGTCCGATTGCGTTTTTTTTTGGCCAAATATTCAGTAATAATATATGTCGCAGCTGACGCTATGAAATTTTAAGGCCTTTTGTTAGGGAATTTTTTTTTTTAGAGTTAGGTTAGGATTTAGGGTCTGTGTTGTTAGTAAAAAAGTATGTGAATTTTAGTAGGTATTATACTGGGTGTTTGATAAGGACCGTTTTATTGACCACTAAATAAATCACCAAATCACTAAATAAATCACTAAATACCGGTGTTACCATCTAGGTTGGGAGAACGATGGATGTATGTACACAATTTAGCCCTGATGGTTAACGGGAAAAAATATACAAAAAGCATGTGGATGTTATTAATGAAGGGCTTTGAGGCATCTCGTAGTCCTCCCTCTTTATTAAGGTCTAAAGAGCATCCTTAAAAACATGATTATGGATGATCATTTAAGCATTTATATTTATATTAACAGATCTTGAATGAATGCGATTTCGTACTAACTAAATTACAACTCGTGATTATCACCTACTTAATCTACATCATAACACCTGGATAAAAATAAACAAGAAAAACTAATATGAGCGGAGGTCTTGTCCAGGGACTTATCAGACACCTTAAATTTCAAGGATCACTCTCTCTAAGTGCAACCCCTCTAAGTGCAACTTCTCTCTAAGTGCAACCCCTCTAAGTGCAACTTCTCTCTAAATGCAATTAAATAGTCTGGTCCCGTGTTGCGTTCGTTCAATTCTTGACACATTAGATCAATTTCTAGTAAATAAAAAACAAAATCCAGATGATATTATCAATTTTTGCTTAAATGATAATGTCAATCCTATAATTCAAATTATTATTGCAAGTTGTTATCGTTATGGTAAATGGGTTGAAGAGGATAAAAATAAGTCATTCATTTGTTATCAAAAATCTGCCGATATGGGTGATTCTCTTGGAATATATTTCATCGGCGTTTGTTACGAAGAAGGAATTGGAGTTGAAAAGGATGAACATAGAGCTTTCATCTATTATCAAAAATCTGCAGAGATGGGAAACGTTGTTGGAATGAACAATGTTGGATATTGTTATTATGGAGGAATTGGGGTTGAAAAGGATGAACATATGGCTTTCATTTATTATCAAAAATCTGCCGAGATGGGGGACGCTAATGGAATCTTTAATGTTGGATATTGTTATCTAAATGGAATTGGAGTTGAAAAAGATGAATATGAGGCTTTCATTTATTATCAAAAATCTGCTGATTTGGGAAGTCATAATGGAACGTATGCAGTTGGGTATTGTTATGAAAATAGAGGAGTTAAAAAGGATGAACATGAAGCTTTCATTTATTATCAAAAATCTGCAGAGATGGGATACACTGATGTAATGTATGAAGTTGGACGTTGTTATGAAAAAGGAATTGGAGTTGGAAAGGATGAATATAAGGCTTTCATTTATTATCAAAAATCTTCAGAGATGGGAAACGCTCGTGGAAAATTTACTGTTGGATATTGCTATTATAAAGGAATTGGAGTTGAAAAAGATGAACATAAGGCTTTTATTCATTATCAAAAATCTGCAGAAACAGGAAATGCCGAAGGAATGTGTGCACTCGGAGAATGTTATAAGTATGGAATTGGAATTAAAAAGGATGAGCATAAGGCTTTCATTTATTATCAAAAAATCTGCAGAATTAGGGTACGCTAATGGAATGTCAGAAGTTGCAGGATGTTATCGAAATGGAATTGGAATAAGAATCGACATTGATAAAGCCAAATACTGGTATCAGAGGTAAATATTGATTTAAATTTGGTCTGTTTATTGTAATGTAACAATTCAATCATAAGTTCGGATGTGATTAAAATCAAAAAAGCTGGGATTAGAATATGATTAGAACGATTGTCATAAAATCTTTAAAAAAGTGATTTCATAAGAGAGTTATAAAGATTTTTAAGAAAAAGGATCATTTACACCTGATCTTAGTATTTGATTGTACGTTCTGGGATAGTACAACAATCATAATACTCAATCATTATAGTATATATATACTATGTACTTATTTAATACTTTTAAATCGTCAATTAGGGAAAAAGATCTAGCATCAGGTATTATATCATAATCAATTATAAAATATGTATTATTAATTTATTTATTGACCAAGTTCATGAATAATTAATAGTCACACACGAGTGGATACATAATTCTGAAATTGATGATGATTTGAAAAAAATACTGATCGAAAATAAATATCAGCTATCTTGGATTTCCTATAATAAACTTATATATGTCATGGAGATAGGTAGAGGTGGATTTGCTACTGTATACAGTGCCATCTGGTTTGATAGCAGCCAAAATATTTATAGACTTATTGCGCTTAAATTGCTTCATAAATCAAATAATTATCAAAAAGAATTTATAAGAGAGGTAATTTCTACTAAATATATTTTTATTTCTATTATTCGTGATTTATTATTCATATTAATAATTTTGAATGTATTATATTTCATTTTAATAATAAGTTAAAAGCATATTATGATATTGGTCTTAAAGATCCAACATTTTTAAAATGGTTCGGTATATCAAGAGATAAGATTATATTCTCGTCATGGAAATTGCTCCATATGGTTGTTTGCGTAAAAATCTGCGTACTATATCACAAATGGGTTGGAAGGACAAATTAAACCTGCTACAATGTATTGCATCAGACCTTGAGATAATTCATTCTCATGACCTTATTCATCGTTATTTGCATAGTGGAAATATATTACTCAATAGTTTTAAAAGCGCATACATAGCAGATTTAGGGCTTTCGGTAACAGCTAATATTGCTTTAAAATCAAAATCCGATACAATCTGTGGAATTTTACCATATATTGCACCTGAAGTTTTGCGTGGTGAACCATATACTAAAGCTTCTGATATTTATTCTTTTGGTATAATTATGTGGGAAACTTTATATGGTGAGCCTGTACCTTTTGAACAAAACACACAATTTCAAGTACAAGTTTGTGATGGTATACGACCGCATATTTACGAAAATGCAGCAAAATGTTATGCAGGTTTAATGAAGAAATGTTGGAATACAGAACTAAATGAACGACCAACAGCAACAGAAATTTGTGATACTTTTACGGAGTGGCAGTATAATGAAAATATTTTATCAGAATTATCTGAATCTGATAAAAAAGTACAAATTTTAAAAACTGAAGATATACAATCATATATTGATTCGCATTATAAAAGTTGTTTTATTTCATCTAAACCTAATTATAAAGGTAATTATAGATTATTATTTAATTAATTTTTAATGAAATTTATTAGTCACATAGCATTATTTAATAATTCTTTTTATAGATAGTGAAATATATGAATTAGAAATACCAGATACTGTCGATGAATAGAGTAACTCTCAATTTTGGAACTACAATATAGCAGAAGATTTTATGTTTTACTAATAAAGTTTGACCTGAATACTATAGAAGATTATATTAGAGAATTGTACATACTGTTTATATAACAGTTTCCGCCCGTAGTTTAATGTTGAAATTTCTCTTTATATTCATAACAATTCCTATTAAACTATTGCATTAAAATCTTGATAAATTTAAATAAATATTATGTACTCAATTTTTAAATAGAAATTAATCTGTGCACATTTTGCGTTGTAATATATATATTCTATTATAAGCGGTTTGTTAATAAATTTTTATTGTTTTTCTATTATCACTCAAGATTTTTTAAAAATAAATTATTCTGCTTCTAGCTTCTTTAATTTTAATCCAGTCTTATTATAGTGCAGTTGAAAACTATATTATGCAAATGCATTATCATATATGATGTAAGATAGTGTTTATATTGTACTAAAATATTATGCAGCATAATTCCCAATATAGTTTCAAGAATGTTTTTTTAGCGGTTTTAATAATATATTTATCAATTAGTTAAAAAATACTTTAAACGACACGATCTTGGTAGTTAAAATGAGTTTTAAAAAGCGGTTAAATAACTTTTATAGTATTAACTGTGTAAACTCACTCTAAGTGTTAGCAAATGAAGAAGCAAAGGATATCTTTCCCACTCGAAGGTATTTTTTCTCTGTAAGCTCGAAATTTTTTTTGATATTTGTGTCATAAATTTTTGATTCAAATAACGCAAATGGGTTTACAAAACTAAAAAAAAAAATCTCAGAAAAATATAATTTATAATTATTTTCCATCGACTTACTTAGCATATTAGCGTTAGGGGTTTCAGAGTTAAATCAGGGAATCCTATTTTATTTTATTTCTTGTTACGGTATTAACTGGAAATCGATTCCGGAGTTGGGCCGGCAGCGATCTGCCGTCCGAAATTTTCTTGGCACAAGGATTCCTGTCGTGGAATGTAGTACGTACAGTACATTCATATGTAAAAAAAAAAACTATTTCAGTATATATTTGTTGCTAGTATACGCACGAACGTTGTTTTTCGACCAAGATTAATACATACAAATGGTTATGGCAAACATACCAGAAGAATGGCTTGAAAAATCTATTTGAGAAGGACATATAAATTATATCGAATATAATAAATTTACAGACCCTATTGAGATCGGTATTGGAGGTTTTGGAAAGGTTCTTAAATACGAGTGGAGAGA